TACTGAGATGGATAATGCTGAAATTTGGTGTCTGATTTGAAAATATAAACCTTACTAAAATCCACATATACCCTTATGCCTTTTATTATGAACTCTAACCCTAACTCCTAACTTTAAACAAATTTCAGCATCATCAGATAAATAAATTATAGGACAAAATTCATAATATAAAAATTCGTTATGTCAAGCTTTAAATGTATATCGTCATATTTACTTTGCTACTCTATCGTCATAATTATGCAATTTATATTTAGATTACACTTTGAGTGCCAATTAAATTTGAATTAGATATATTAATTTAGCGCACGTTATGCTTAATAATTTAAAAAAAAATAGTGTGCGCTAACCACACATTTAAAATTGATCTATGTGCGGAAAATAAAATTTACGTGCGCAAGCATCATAAGCGCACGTTCAATTTTATACACTTCCTCCAAGGTCTTTCATAAGAGCGTTTTCCCAACTCGCTTCCTTACCCGTCGAGTACGATTCCTTCAGTCGCCGAGTTTTATGTTAAGGAACTTGAGACCTGACTTATTTCAATCATCACTTTCGAGACCTTACGCGAACTTTTCACCTTCCCCCCACACGTCTCCCGAAGAGTCTACATCGTCCTACCTGAACAAATTCACAAAATACATTGCAAAACGGCTTCCAGTATGAGATTTATTGTTGTTTGTTATGCATTTTTCGATCATGTTTTCAACACCTTTTCGTTATTTGTAGACCGCTATATTGGCGAATATAATTGTAACTGGTCTTGTTGGTCTTATATCAGTGGACCTTATGTACGCTTGGTACCGAAATAGATGTAATGAGCGTCTTCTTAACGAAACAGTGGAAAAGGGCACTCGACCTAGAGCGGGAATTTCAAGTGACAAGTTTGTTCCTCGACCTGAAATTGTAGAACGCCTTAAAAGAATTTTTCAACCCCATGAAGATCAATCATTTTATTACATGGTTTGCGGTGAACATGGAACTGGGAAAACGACGCTGACAAGGATTGCGTCGAGTGAAGTTGAACACGGAGTCATATACATTGATGTTCCTGCAAATTTCAATAAATTAGGTGAAGCTTTCGGAAAAGCCATTAATTTTACATTTGAGGAAAGTATTTCTTTTACGGGACAGCTAATGCGAAAAATATTAGGTGAAACTAATACTAATGGTAAGTTTTCATTACTGCTTTATTGTTTATTTTGATTCTTATTTTTCTTTTGCTAGATAAACTTAAGATTTCTGAATGGGAGAGAGCTATGGACGCTTTTAAACGTGCCTCTGCAGTGTACAAAGCAAAGTACAATAAACCACCGGTTATCGTTTACGATAATATTAGTCGATTAGTTCACATAAATCCGGAAATCCTTGACATCCTTCAAGATGATGCCAAGGATAATGCCGATGACAGAAAATACATCGCTGTGTTTGTCAGCAGTGAAGGAAATGTCCCGAGAAGAATGCAGTGTAAGTGCTAACAGGGTTTTTTGGCTCTATTATTTACAGGCATATTTATAAATCAATATTCTTTTATTTAGCACGTAGCTCTTGGTCACGTGCAGAAGAACCAATCGAAATTGGTGACCTCTCCAGAGAAGAATCATTGAATTACCTTATCAATAAGCGTGGAATCAAGACTGTCAAGGAGGGCAAGGTCGATACCACAGAAGCAGAGAAATTATTTGATTTGGTTGGTGGACGCATTGTAGATCTGAAGTCTGTAGCAGATAAATATCTGAAAGGAATACCCATTGAAGGTAGAATTAGTTTTGATATTTTACACTTGTGATTCCGCTTGACGCTGTTTTCTTTTTGCAGTTATTGAACACAAAATTTTAATGAAAGTTGAAGACAAATTCAGGACTGCAAAACTTCTTGAAACTCATGAACATCATGAAGTAGGAAAACGTATCATCAGTGTTTTGCTGGTTTCTAAAGAGCTTAGCCGTATTGCATTTGAGAAATTTTTCGATAAGCCCGAGCAAGCAAATGAAATCTTGGGATCCAATGTATTTGTGTATCATCCAGAAAAAAATAGTGTAACCTTTCAGTCTCGCTCAGTAGAACGCTATATTCAGAAAAATGCAAGTATATTCATTAATTGAGTTACTAGGCACTTAATGTTATTAATTAATTTCATAATAAAGCTTCATTTTGCATTTTATCAAATCCCAGTTCGGGCTAAACTTTATTATTTTAAAATGATGGGAGTAGCGAGTTTCAAGGGAGGAATTTCTCGAGCCCTAACCCATAAAATGAGAGTTCCTTCCCGCTACTCCGTATTATTAGCTAAGTTAAATTTATTTTTGCTATCGATTCAAGCACCTATTTTATTTAAAGTACTACCTCTAAAATCACCATTATTATAATAAAAATTTTTTATAGTTTCCTTACCAATCTTTCCCATCCCAAGACTACGAATCTCAACAGACACCATATTACACATATCGTCTAAAGAATAATTATTGTCTATCATAATCTTATCAAAAAGAATTTTAAAGTGGTTTCTGGTTGTTGAGGTAATATCGGAAAAAGATAATTGACTTGAGCCACTAGAAGAACCCAGAGAAGAACCAGAAGATCTTCGAGAAAAATTGGACGTAGATACGGATGGGCCAGCAAATTCTTCGGATCTTAATGGGGTCACAGAACCCGTCTCAGTTATTTGGTCCAACTGATCACGAAGAGATTCATAATTGGCCGTGATTTCTTTAATAGTTTCAATCATAGTATTCACCATTACCACGATTCTCTGTCTCTCGACAACAAATGTGGTATATCGTGTTGTAAGATCTGCGGTTAATCTTTTCACATGTGTATTGAGTTCTGCGATGAGTTGTTGACTGATGAGGTACATAGCGAAACACGTGGCAATGAAAATCAGGTGGATAGGGATTTTCTCGGCGAATATCATTAGGCACACGAAGACCAAAAATGGGACAACTTCTGAAACATTAACCGAAGACATATCTATAATGGGAAAAAGATTATTAGTAAAGATACATGAGCATGGATAATAACCTAGCATATATGCAACTCAAAATCAACCTTAATTCGTGTGAAACGGATGAAATAAGTGGAGTTTATTTTGTTGCTCTTAGCGAGACTACTATGTCTGAAAAGTATTTTTATTATTTTAGCAAAGTTAAGGTACAAGATGCGAAAGCTTATTAAATGGTTTATTTTTATTTTTACTGATATTACTAATAAGAGCGTAGAAAGGAACAACTAAAGATTTTTGGATCCCTTTTATACAAGATTTCACGACTTAGAATCTGATTCGTTGTATCTGTTAGTAAAGGCCAGAACATACTGAAAAAAAATGCTAATTACATTATTATCGCATTATTATTGGATATGAGCATTTGATTCAGATAAAAAAAGAAGACCCGATTCTAAAGACTAACAATACACGGTCTGGGTAATATAAATCAAGGTATGTGATATTTATTAGCAGAGCAAGCACAAGGTGCTAAAGCTAGTATATCTGATGAACATTTACAGTTACAATGATAACTATCACATTACGATCCCGATTAATATATATATATGTGGATTTTCATACAATTGATAACCGACTTCTGAAATAACATTAGGACGATACATGATCTTATTTAGAATTTGACTCTCGCAATGCTACTCAATTTTTGGTTAGATATCGGATATAATTTTACCACTCAAAGTATATTTAGAGGTAAAATCACGTATAATCGATCATTGACAAATTTATCCTATTTTATTAGTAAAAGTAGCAAGACTAACATATCATTCCTTATATTATAGAAACTTCGGTATATAGACCAAGTACTACGTATATGCTACTGAGAATATGCTAGAAAGTTTGAGCAAAAACATGATAAGTTCGGGTATTATTTTATGACGATTGATCGATTCATCCAAGACACACATAATATTGCTACCGCATGTGATTTAATAGATCGTGACCCAGACTAAGATTTGCTTATGTTGGATTTACACATGACATCGTCCCCGAGGCCCATTATAACGTGACATGATTTAATTTTGTGATCACAATCTGGACTAACCGAT